CGCCTCAAGGATGGTGCGGGAGAGAGGTCGGGTCCTGCAGGCCGCCCACCCCCCCCGTCTGGAGTTGGGGGCTCCAGGGTGTCCCCGAGGGTCATAGGGTCGTAGTTTGGGTTGAAACAAATCGTATGAGGAGCGGCTGAGGGAGCTGGGACTGTTCAGTATGAGGAAGAGGAGGCTGAGGGGAGACCTCATCACTCTCTAAAACTACGTGAAAGGACACTGTAGAGAGGTTGGTGCTGGTCTCTTCTCACAGGTAATTAACAACAGAACAAAAGGGAACGGCTTCAAGCTCCAACAGGGTAGGTTTAGATTGAACATTAGGAAAGAATTTTTCACCGAAAGAGTGATAGGGCATTGGAACAGGCTGCCCAGGGAGGTGGTGGAGTCACCATCCCTGGCTGTGTTTAAGGGCCGTTTAGATGCTAATGGACATGGTGTAGGGGAGGACTTTGTAGAGTAGGGTAGATGGTTGGACTCGATGATCCCAAGGGTCTCTTCCAACCTAGACGATTCTATGATTCTATGATTCTATGAAAGGGACCTTTAAAGATCACCTGGTGCAACCCCCCTGCAGTCAGCAGGGGCATCTGCAGCTAGAGGTGGTGGCTCACAGCCCCCTCCAGCCTGACCTTGAGGGTTTCCAGGGATGGGGCATCTGCCGCCTCTCAGGGCAAGCTCTGCCAGTGTTTCACCACACATTATAAAAAAAATTCTTCCTTATTTCCACTTCTTTTAGTGTAAAACCATTGCCCCTCATCCTATTGTAACAGGCCCCGCTAAAATGTCTGTCCCCATCTCTCTTATAAGCCCCTTTGAAGTACTGGAATACCACTATAAGGTCTCCCCAGAGCCCTCTCTTCTCCAGGCTGAACAACCCCAATTCTCCCAGCCTCTCCTCACAGGAGAGGTGCTCCAGCCCTCTCATCATCTTTGTGGCCTCCTCTGGACCCGCTCCAACCAGTCCATGTCTTTCCTCTGTTGAGGGCTTCAGAGCTGGATGCAGTACTGCAGGTGGAGGACACCAGAGCAGGGCAGAAGGGTAATGGAAGATGGGGAGGCAAGAGGGCAATGGAGAGGATGGAGGCCTCTTGTATTGCAGTTTGCACCCATCACCTTTGGGCCTCTTGCTGGCAACCGCTGAGTAGAGCCTGACTCTGTCTGTCCTACATCCCCCATCAGATGTTTGCACATCTGGATTAAACCTCCCTGTGTCATTTCTTCTCCATGCTGAACAGTCCCAGGTCTCTCCCCCCAACCTCATCTGGCAGATGCCCCAAGCCTCTAATCTACCAAGCACCCTCTGCTGTGGCATTTCAAAGTGTTTGGTCCCCACTGTCCCATCTCAAGTCACTTTTTGCAGGAGTCAATGAGTAGCCTTCACCTTTAATAACCCTTAATTGACTTTCCCCCTTATATTTTTCCAGTTGCTTTCTGAACCTCTGCAAGATTGGAGCATCCTCAGCCCCCTCAGATCAGGAGTTACAGAGGTGGCTGCCCACTTTGTAAAGAGCCACCTCTAGTGCTTTGCACGTAGGCCTCCCATAGCTCAATACTGCTTCTGCCAAAAGGGATCAATTGTTCCCTTCTCCACTCAACTCTCCCTTTATAAAACCATTACCCTGTCTGCTTTCAATTGTCCTTTCTATTTTTCCAAGCTATAATCCAAGGAAATCATTCCTCATCTGGAAGCTGTTCTACCACACTGATTCCCTTTCTTGTTCTGTCTGTGCTGTTCTTGTGCTGGCCCTGGAAGGAGCCGGGGGATGTGACTCACCCTGCATTCCAGATGCAGGTGCCCCAGACATTTATGGAATGGTACTAAGCTGCTTTCTGGTTTGCCCTGTTCTTAATTCCTGCTGGTTCCTAATATCCAGTTGCCTTTCTGCTCACTAAAGACTACTCAAGTTAACGTTGTCATTAAACTATTAAAAGTAAGATCCCATTTCTGAGATGCTTAGACAGTATGATGTACATAGGGCTAGGATTGCTTTTTTCCACAAGTACTACTGTAAATTTATCAGTACTAAATTTTATCTTTTTATCACTCCTTTTTCATGCCACACATACTTATGATTGTCACTCAACTGGGTCATCCTTTTTCACACCACTTACAGAAAGCAGTGAAGAGCAAGGGTCCTTGCAGCACCCCATGAGTGAGTTTCAACAAGAAATGTGGCTACTCATTTCTGTCTTTTGACTCATTTCTGTTATTGACCTTCCTGTCATCCCATGATAATTTCATTGCTTTAAGAAGCTTTAACTAAGGACCTTGTCAAATGTCCTATGGAAATGTAAACAGGCTATATTCATCCAGGCCTCTTATGTGTAAGTTGAGTCCTTCAAAAACGTCTCTGAGGCACAATTTTCTTTAAGGAAAAAAAAAAAGGCATCGATTCTTCCATGATCTGTTTTGTTCCTTCGGACACTTTTCTTGTTTGTGGTTTTTTGTTTGTTTTGTGGTTGTTTTTTTTTTAACAGTTTCATCCAGATTGTGTTATGTGGGTGTCAGAGCTGCTTATTCCTCTGGAAAATTTGTAGAGATTGATCTTTGCCTTTTGAACTTTTGGTGCTAGGACAGGTACCAACTGCTACCCCAATTCATAATCCAGATTCTTCACAGTCGAGGGCCTGTAGTGCTCTCTGGAGAACATGCCTGTCCTGGAGACTTGTTCGTTTTCTTCCTCTGTTCATTTTGTTGCTTTGCTCTCTGTTCCTGCTGGTCCTTCAGCCCAAGACAGATGTTGTCCTTCAACACAGGCTTCAGGGCATGGGGCTGCCTGCACCAGGCCAGCAATGTTACCCGCAGTGCTTTACATTTTCTGTGATGCTTCACGCTCTCTGTGGCTGGCTGTGTCACCCGGGCAAGTGGTGGTGACATCCAGAGGCCCTGAGGACCTTCGGAGGCTTCATTCTTGTTTCGCAGTTGCCATCCAGCTAAGAAGTGTGCCAGATGAAATAAACCATGCCAGAAGGTTCAGACAAATAACCAGATTTTTATTATCTTTGTAATCACTTTGGCTGGATAGTTTCTATGGTCAAAAGATAGTTATGATTCTGTTTCTAGAAAGTCAGACGCTGCTCTAAAAGGAAAGTACCAAATAATTTCCTTTATTAACCGTGTATGTTTAGGTGAAAGACTTTAATTTTGTATGTGTACAGAGAGCAAATGTTCTGCGCAGACAGACAGTAGTTTTGCACAGAACAGGAGACCTTAATTTTAATGTTTACAAAACCGAAAGATGAAAGGGTTTAGAGCATCTGGTTTTGCCAGCTCAAAGGGAAGACATAGAGAAGGAGTCTGTAAGTGTTTATTGCTTTGGTGCAACTCCTGTTTGGGCTCAGTCCTGCAGTTCTACCTCACCTGTGTGCTCTTAAATGACTGGGGAAAACAAGGAACCAAGAAATAACAGAAACATCCAAGGAACTTCAACATATTGGTTAACTGGACGTTAGTCCAGGACACCGTTAAGCTACAATAAGAGTGATGGGCAGTAAAGTTCCCTACATTTGAACATACTTCATAATACAGAACTGGAAATAACATTAAAAAAAAAAACAAAAAACCCAACCAGCAACTTGAATTTACATTAAAAATCAAATTTGGATAAACAGCTTCACAGATGTACTTGTTCTGGAGTTCCTCTGCAAGAGCTGTAGCTGACGTGAGCAGGCAAGAGTGAGCACAATCTAATTAAAAATGAGCTATAAATATTCAAGTATCTGTAAAACATGGCCTGATTCTGCCTGTCTTCCTCACAGAACACAGAGATCAGCCTCCTGATGGCTTCGGTACAGGCAGGGAGTGAGGTGCTAATCGTGCAAAGAAGAGATACAGAATCAGGACCACAACGAGCAGCAATGACAAAATAAACTAACTTTCTCAGAGGTTGCTCAGGGCTAGATTTTTAAAGGGATTAACAAAAGCTGCTAGAAACCAACAGCAGGGGCACAGCTGAACTCCATCAGGTGCTAAAATATATTGGTAGGTCCCTAAATGCCTTTAAAAATCTGTCCGCAGAGCACATTTTTCTCTTTTAACAGGAAAAAAAAAAAAAAAAAAGGAGAATCGCTTAAGTGTCAGTGAATTCATTGAACCAGACTTTGAGAAACCACAGGGACTTCCACATTGACACCTGCTCCTTCAGAAGCTGGCATGCTTGGAACAGTCCCTGGTGGTATTTATTCCTTAGCATGAACCCCATGATTCTGCACAGAGTGCGTGGATCCGTGCTGCCTGCTCCTCACTCCCGTGGATAAAGCCTTTGCAGCTCGTGTGGATGCCCAGAGGGGTGCTGCTCTGCTGCCAAATTTGATCCTGGACAAAGCTCAGCTGGAATCTGGAGGAGTGGAAAGGGTGATGGGTGGGACGTGGCTCTCGGAGCTGAACCCTACAGCTCATGGTCACTTTGGTGAGCGCTGGCTACAGGGTGGGACTATCAGCACACGTCTTCCTCCAGTTTTATTAGCAGCATGTCATGAAATCCAGTGCGTCTCTGTGAACGATGCTAAAAGTGGGGATTTACAGGGAATCTGCTAGAAGTGCACTTTTGTCATGCAGAGCCGTATAATGGATCCTGTTTCCTCGGCGAGTGACGAGGCAGAAGAAGGTTAATGCTGTTGACAGCAGAACAAGTCCAATGAAAAATGACACTGCAAGTATCAAGCTGGCTTCTCCAGAACTCAAAGTTCTGCCAAAAAGGTTGTCCCCTTTGCTGTCATAATCTGTTAAAAGAACAGTAGTTAATAAGAAATCTATGCATAAATCTGAAGAGTTTTAAATGATATTTTAAAAAATCCTTACCCTTTGCAGTGGTCCTATTTTTTGCAGTTTTTGTATCATATGCTGCAGTCGTGACTCCTCCTTCTGAAGGAGCTTTCCGCTCTGCATGGAGACAGAAAAAGCATGGTTAAGTTGAAAACCTTAATAAACACCTGTTCCTTCTGGAAAAGTATCCTTGATTTTATTTCATTCATTCTGCCTTGTTGATCTGAACAGAAATCCTGATTAGATGAGCACAGCTATTGCTCTGGGCAGCCCCATGAGCAACATCCTCCTTCTCTATAGGCATCTCTGTTACTTCACTACTTACTGTGGTGATAGCATTAGAGGTGATGGTTTTAAACTGAAAGAGGGTAGATTTAGATTGGACATAAAGAAGAAATTTTTTATGATGGGGGCGGTGAGATGCTGGAGCAGGTTGCCCAGGGAAGTTGTGGATGTCCCATCCCTGGAAGTGTTCAAGGCCAGGCTGGATGGGACTTTGAGCAATCTGGTCTAATTGAAGAGATCCCTGCCCATGGCAGGGAGTTTGGACTGGATGATCTTTAAAGCTCCTTTCCAACTCAAACCATTCTATGATTCTATGATTCAGTCCTGAATTTGTTTGCTTATTTGAAGTTTCATGGCCCGAATGAATAGGTAATTATAAAATAAATTCACCTTGTCCAAGGAAGGAGTATTTTTGCTACATTTGGCCAATAATTTGTCATCCTGCTGCTACAGAGTTACGGGTTGCAGTCTCTGCAGAGGAGTTCAGCAAGCAGAGGGGGGACACAGGCAGGAGATGCTGGACCCAGGTGTTAAGTGGAATTATCTGATGTGAAGAGGCTCACAAAGCACTTCTGACTTCACTCACTAGTGGTGGAAGGGAGCAGCACCACTCAAAAAGTTGACCAACTTTTTTTAGTCAAAAGATCACCTATTTCTTGGACAGGATGAACCGACATTTTCTGGTGCATCTTGTATCTATCTCAGGTGGTCTCTGCTCATGCAGGAAGGAACTTGAATAGCCCCATGAGCCAGCAGGGATTGGAGGAAGGAACAGCACCGTGGCAGACTGCAAACCCTCCCACACACCACATGGCAGCAAGGCTCAAAAAATAGCTTTGCACGACCTGTGGGTGACTAATGTCTGCCACTGTCTTAGAGGGGCTCTTGTGAAGCACCAACTGGTTTTAAGTTGCAGATTGCAGCAAGGACTACTGACTTTGCCATGTCATTAAGGGTGTTTGTCCTGTCCCTAGACAATGCAAACTGGCCATGGCAGTAATTTACACCTTCCCACCAGCGCGCAGGGTGCAGCAGTGACATTTGCTCTCTTCCTTTTCTCCTGCCTTCCATCCGATCTGCTGTGATACCACCTCTGGGCCCTAGGACATGTTTCTGATACTGCACCTGATTTATTGATGGTGTAGGTCGTCTCCATGCCAGCATGGATGTGATCGGCTACATGGCAATGCAGAAGCCATGTTCCAGGGTTTTCTGCTACAAGCTCAACTGTCTGGAAAGTCCCAGGGAAAAGGTCGTACACGTCTCCTCTGTGGTCCTTATCCGTCTGGGGAAAAGGAAAACCAGCATCGTAAGAGTTTTACCTCAAAGACACCCCATGGGTACTGAAGTATTCCAGTTAGACTTTGAGCTCCTCCAGGCAGATCAAATACTTCTTGTTATATGTTTCTAGTAGGCCTCATCCAGGTAAACTGAGGCCTGTGGACACCCCTCATTTAATTAATTAATTAACGACAGGACACCCCTCCTGAGGACTTCAAGTGCTATTTAAGCACAGGCGTTTCTTTCAAATACCTATTTTTCAGATAGTCCTGCCGGTGTCAAGTTAATACAACATAAAACCATATTGTAAGCAGGTATAACTCTGATTTTCTCCCTGTATCTTCCCTTATACCCATGGATATATATTTTGACCCACCTCATCGCGTCCTTTAATAGTGACATATATTCATGTTTCATAACAGGTTCAGAGTGGTGGAAGATTTGCAGGGATCTCACTCATTTTGCATTTCCTCCACATGCAAAACTCTCACTGCCCTCAGCACCAGCCCTGCTCTCTGTGCCCAAGCTGCACAACCACGCTAGCACTCAGACTGTTCTACAGAAATTTCCCATCACACTATAAAGGTTTTACTTTGAATAATTTTACCAACCTTAAAGATGAAGGTCTGTGCATGGAAGTGGACTGTATGTACATCCACTTCGTTGCCCATTCCTATCAAATACCAGTTTGTCCTATCACCTTGGTTCATCGTTAGACCCAGGAGACCGTTATAAATCTTCCCATTGATTGCTGGAAGAACGAAATAGGACTGATTAACAACTGGCCATGGTAGGGGTGATGATAACCTCCACTTCAGGAACCCTTCTCATTTTCTGTCCGGGGAGAAGGGGTGCCCAGGCAGAGAGGGGACCCACAAGCATGGCCAGGGCAAGAGCTCTCTATAGCAACTGCTGCTGCTGCAGGGAGACAGTCACATTTTTGTTTCAGTTTCCAAATCATCTAAGTGCACAGCATCACCTATTTTTCTGTCTTGGAAAGCATTTGACAGCTTTTTTACTGGCTGAGATCAAACAAACAGGATTTATGCTGAGAAGCTACATGGAAAAAGAGGGAATAGAGTTATTGCCTAAAATGGGTACCGTCTGTAGAAAGAGAAGTTTGCTTTGCCAGGGCTGTTCCTGCCCTGATACAGCCTGTTCTGCCTGGCTCCTGGGCTGGCTGCCACTACAGGCACGGTTTTAAAATGTCATCTTTATGCTCCTACAAAAAAAGGCCACAGCTCCCAAACGACAAGGGAAGTCCGGCAGGGCAGCCTCTTCCCAGAAGTATCAGATTAAACTATCTTGTTAGAAAAATATCTCGGCTGGGCCTCATTAAATCTTTTTGTTTCCAGAGTCGCAGCTTATGAAGTTGTCACGTGGTTGGGTAATTGCAGGCTAAGTCCAACATCTTCCTAAAAGGGCTGTGAAAAATAAACCTCTGTCCTCTTGGCTGCTGCCACCGAGTCCTACATACCATGCATGCTGTTGCCTTCTACAAAGTTCTTAGTGGAATTAAAATCATCAGGATTCTTATGAAGGTATGTTTCAATATTTTCTTTCAAATACCAGGATTCATTTTCATCAAACACCATAAACAGAAGGGTAAATTCACGATCGATGTCCTTCCTTAGACCTCTTTCATCTAGAATTCCTTTTCTGCAAACTACAAGAGGCCCAATCAGACCGCTGTATGTGTCCTGAAATAAAATAAATATATGCATTACAAATTTTCTAGTTCATTCAGTTATGAAATAGATACAGATTGACTACAGATTAAATAAAGACAAAATTCCATTTTCCTGTCAGAGAAAATCATTACTCTGTCTGATTAGAGTTATCTTTCTCTACATGTCCCTATTTTAATGTACCAAAGCAATGTTTTGCTCTCATCCCAAATCAGTTCAACTACTCTTTAAGGAGGGAATCACATTACAAGGGTGTATCCCTGGGGATTTCAGTAGATTAAATTACTCAGGCATGTGCAACTGTTATTAAAGATGACAAAGCATCTAGCTGTGTAAATCATTCCTCTAGCCTGTGCTCCTCGCATAAATGAGAAGCAGGATCCTTTCAGAGACATTAGGCAAGACAGGAAGCTTTAGCCAAAGCAATGTAATCTATAATGACCATTTCTTGGTTACCTTCACAAAATTCGCTGTTGAATAATAAACCCAAGTGATGCAGTTGGGATCTGTTTTGCCAGGGCCGGATCGTTCTGGGACGTTCCACCTGTAGGTGTTTATTTCCCCTGAAACAGAGAGAATGATTTTATCAAGAGCAGCTGGGCATGAGAGGCTTTCAAGAGTAGGTAACTGAGATCTGCCACCCCCCTCATCAAAAAATGATCTGCATCAAAAATATCTGTGGAAGCATGCAGCAATGGGATATGGGTGTGATTCAGCCTTCCAGGAGGTCGATGAGGTTCCAGCAGTGTAAATGGAGGCAGATAGCCCCCAGAAAAGGAGATTGGCCAATAACACTGGGAACAGTGGCATCCCACAGAGGGAAGTTTGGAGATGGGAATCTTCATCGTTCTCCTTGGGAAAAACTTGTAGCAGATCAACGATCATGGATGCCGTTGCTTAAGATCAGTTGAAGATGTTGGGAGCCAAACTCCAGAACAAAAAACATTTTTTTTGGACTTTCTTAGTTGAAAAGAGCACAAAGATGTGGCAGTTGCCACTGCGACTTTGCAGATGGTGCTGCAGCAGTGTTTCAGCTCTGAGCCAGGAGAGGAGAGCTGAGTACCAGCCTGCTGACTGGGAGCAACAGGAGGGTCCTTTCCTCTTCCAGCAAAGACCCTGCTCCCCAGCCATCAATGGAGAAGCCCTGTCACTTCCTGAAAGCCATCGTCTCTGCCACATCCTCCCTGAGCAGAGATTCCCTGACCTCTGATTTTAAAAAACAGAACAATCTGATGGGGAAATTATCTATTTGGGTGAGGATCAGTTCTCTACACTGAACACACAGCTACGTTCAGATGAACCGCTTGTGCTGTGTTTCCCTGCTTAGTTTTTTTTGATGGTACTGCTGGGAAAGGTAGAAGACCAAGATGTGATCAACACCTTGCCCTTTTAAGAGGTGGAGAAATGTTGAACCAGGCAGTCTCTGGCCCAAAAGTCTTCCAGGGTGACAAAAGCCAAGAACATACAGGGACATGGTATGAGTCAGGGGAAAACAAGGAAATCACAAGACTCTTGTCTTAGTACAGCCACAACCCAACAGCTGCCGAGAGCTGTGGGCATCAGGGCAAAGGGGAATTTTCAAGCTTAAATGGTTGTGAAGCGACTGACCCCAGTTTTGTGTCACCAAGCCACTACACCGTTTTGATGAATCATGCAATAGTGGGGTTTATTGTACAGCAATAACTTAAAAAAAAAAAAAAAAGCAATGGTGACTCTCAAATGTCATACTGTATGAGATGAGTCTCCCATAAATGTTGCAATATTATTTAATCTTATAGTACCTTCTATGTGTTACAGCATGGGGTTATGCACTTCAGCAGAGATCAGAAAGGCTCTCAAGACACAACACTACACTGATATGACAGAAAACATTGACAAGAAACCCATCAATCTCAGAGGCATTCATGCCTTGGAGCCTGGTCTTGGTCCTTCACCACTTTATTGCTTTTTACTCCTCACTTCAGGATGTTTGGAGGCTGTAGCTGGAAAAATCTCCACTCTACTTAAAACCTGAGACACTTCAGATGACATCAAAGACCAATCTCTGATGAAGAATAACTCCTGAAAAGACTGATAAAGAGAAGAATGGATGTTTGATCCCTCTTTGCTGCTGCACAAGTGGAGGAATGGACAGGGAGAGGACAAAGCTGTGGTTGCTCAGAGCTGGTTTGGCTCAGGCTACTATGGATCTGCTCCCTGCACCTCTTTGCCTTGCCTCCCACGGTCTCTTTAGGAGCTGGCAGTGCTCTCAGGAGCACGATTTGGCAGGCCATAAATCTGACAGATGACTGGTTCAGGATGTAATAGGACTAGATGGACCCTGAGGAGTCTGAGGGGTGAGCAGTCCAGCCTGGCTGAGGAAGATAGTGAGGGTTTCTGGATGATGACAGTGGGGACTGAAATGCCCAGGAATTGTTTTGTGGGGCTTGCTTTCCATGTGAACTGCTTCTTCCAAGCTCCTAAGGAAAATTCTGTCCTTAGACCTTGCTGAAGAGCCCTTTCCTTTGGCTTACTGACAAATGCAGACACCTTCCCTCTGCTAACTCACCCCAAGCCTGCTCCCATGTGGACACAGGAGACATGACAGTAGTGTTCCTGATGTTACACCTCCACCGTCAACAGAACAGCATCGGCAGCAACATGGAGCAAATAACATAACAAGGGAATCACCAGAACCAGCTCTTTTTCTTTATCCTTCTTTTTTTCTTTTTCTTTTTTTTTTTAGTATGTATTAGCCACAGGTTCATCAAACTCCAGCAAGGCAGAGGCTGGCTCACTTTTGGCCCTGAATTTGGGATTGTACTGTATCGATACAGCTACCTACAGGAAAGAGATTTCAGCTTTCAGAGAGGTTTAGTTCATCAGAATTTCTTTTCATTTAGTTTCACACTGAAGGTCGCAAACACTATGAAAAAAATTGCACGGGTGATGGAAAGAAAGGGTATGTACATTTTGCATTGACTGCAACACCTGGGTTTGAGTTTGACTTCCTACTAGAACATAAAATCCAAGATAAAAATTGAAGTACAAAAATTTTAACAGGCAATTTTGTATATGAAAAATCTCAGTGCTGTGAGAACTATTTGCCACTATTTTCCTCACTAGAAGCTGAGGGGTAGTTGTTACGCTTCTTCAAAGACTTTTACACCAAGTGACAGTGACATTTTGCGTGTTGTGCATCAGCTCTGAAAGCAAATGCCAATTCTGTGTAGATCAAGGGAGAGGCAGAGTTAATGTTGCCAACTGCAGCTCTACCAGTGGCTCAGTTTTTAAAACCTCTGGACCAAATGCAACGCTGGCTTATGCTTCTCTTGCCGTGACTATGGGCCAGCTTCTGCTTATTTTTGGAGGTTGTCCAGTGATATTTCATTCCTGTTCCTGCCCCTGATAGGAACAAAGGTTCATTCTCTGCCACAACATGCTCATTTGATCAAGAACCAACATGTATAACAGCACAGAATTGTGTTTGAATAAACGTTGAGCGGATTATACCTGGAAGAACATATAGGTATGTGCAAACTTGAAAGAGGGATTGTCATTCGTATGTTAAAATACAGCTTTTGTAGCTCAAAGGAAAAAAATAAAAAAAAAAAAGAGAGCCTTACCAGGGAGGGTAATCGGTGTATCAGGTTGTTCTTCACAACCTACTTCTTCTATGCCATGTGCACTTATGGAATAAGGCCTGCTGGCTTTGTTCTTAAATACTATCAGGACGGAGTCACCAACCTCAGCATGGAGTAGAGGCCCTAGATAAAAACAGAAGATGCTGGTGATTAATGCTGGTTTTCTGAATTCAACAGACTTTGAATAGTGTGACCTAGGAGAGGAGCCAAAGTTTTTCTCCAAACCCTCGAGCTTTTCTAGTCTTTCAGCAAAGCTGTCAAAATCAGTTTGTTATCTCAGCTGAGGAAAAGCTCCGTATATATAAATTATCTTTTTTCTTTTTTGTTTATGAGAAGAAATGTTCACTCTGGAAACACATCTTTGGACAGTTTGCTTTTAAGGAAAATTCTTGTGGATGCTTTTGGTATCTTGTTTTATTTCTTAAACTGCTAACAACTTGCGCTTTTTTAAACTATCTTTTTTACTTTTGTACTGCAAAAAAGGAAATGTCAAATATATTCCCAGAGTGTGTTGACTACTTTATGACCAGCTATTGCCCACTTCTCACCCTATAAAAAACATGAGCCAATGGTTATTTTATGACATGCGTAAAATTTTATCTTGACCAATTTCAGATATTGGGCTTAATATTGCCTCTTATATTGCCCCTTAATATTGACTTAATCCTTCTTCAGGAGTCTCTCCCACCTCACATGCTCTGATGTTAAGGTGAATCCTGGAATTGCCATTTTGACATCCTCCATGTTACTACTCCTTAGGAAACTCCTTATTCATATTTGAGAATGAATTCTCTGATTTGGAAAGTATCTTTACACTCAGCAATTATACTAGTTGGGTGTAAAATCACTGATGCCCTGGAATAGGCATGAATGTTCCTTGTTTTCCATGTTAACAAAGGTGGAAAACCTCTTTGGTTTTAAAAAACAATCCTCTCACATATCAGGCTTGGTCTATGAACTACTTGCCCAGGATTTCCAAGTGTTCCTCCTCCTCTGTCCTCACTTTGCGCTGTGTGAAGTTGCCGTTTGTGTACTCCCTGTAAACCACCTTCTTGTATTTTGAACCGATCATATCTTCCGCTTGGCTCAGGAAAACACGCCCGTAGCTGCAAAATAAAAAGGCAGAAATTAAAAGCTCCAAACTGTACACACCTAAAGGCTGGCAACTGCTGTGTTATTCATAAGACATGTGGTAAGAACACATGGCTTGGTCCATGTGCTGATTGGTGCGAAGGCCTGGGTGCTGCAAGAGATTTTAAACAAATAATAACAGTGATAATCCTCACTAAATGCACACCCTCTTCTAACAGGTAAATCTGAGGATATATTTCACTCATCACAAACTTCTTGGGAACACAGATCCTTCACCAGAGCTGTCAGAGGAGAGATGAAGTTCACGTTAAGAGTGGGTTTGGCCACTCTCTCCAGCTGCATCCTCCACTCCAGTGGAAGATACTGCCTGTTCCTGCAGACCTGCATCCTCTTATCACAGTGGCTGCTTTCACTCTCTTGGCTATTAGTCAGCCACAGGAAGATGATAACCAAAGCCTAACCTTGCAAAAGCAAATCCCATCCTCTTGAGATAAGAGGGGTCTGCTTTACCCTGCTCTGCTGCCACTGTGTACTGCACAGGGCTGGATGTTCTCCCAGTGTGAAGATAAAGTGAGAAACGTATTTTCCCTTCTGCACCTGGCAGAGGATGGTTTTCTGTGCCCTCCAGGTTCCTGCAGTCACCCACACTTTATTGTCCATGCTCCTGTGGGATCTCAGAGGGCTGACTTGCCGGCAGAGGACACTCGCCACCAGCTGTGGAGGAGAGCCTTCACCCTCTTCCTGGAGCAGCTCTGTCTCCTGGCAGCTCATCTCCAAGGTGCCCCTGGCAGGGGAGTTGCAAGATTGGCTCACAACATAGTAAATAAAAGGAAGAAATGCCCCAGGAGTACTGCTTACTGTAGTAATACACTGTGTGTGCAACAGCTGCATTGGACAATGCGGGACTTAATATTTTCTTTAAACACACTTCATCACCTGTGGCTCCTCGGATATATTTTCTACTGACTCTTCCATACTCTTCCTCTTTACAGGGTGCAGTTTCCCAGCCACTTTTCTAAGGTTTATTTTTGAAATGTGATCCTTGTCCCTTTTCTGATTTCACCAAAGTGGTCTGAGAGGCTTCCCTATGCAATATGGGACTGGTAACTGGAACATGTATCTTCTGCCTGAGGAATAAGGTTTTTATTCCTTAGCACAGTGCAGCATAAGCATAGACATGATTCACCTGTGGCTGTTACTGCCTTCTGACTTTCCCAGGGGAGCCGGCAGCCACAGCACCACAGGGAAGCAGACTCAGAACCTCCCTACTGCATCTGCACTGCTTGCAGGGGCTCACGTCTGGGACAAGTACCTGGGTTTCTTCTCTATGAAAACCAGGCAAGTGGGGTGGAGAGACTGGGGAGAGTGAGGGAGGGAAAGGAGGAGGTTGTGGGGCATCACTGTGGGGGTGAGCCAGGGCTGGAACACACACATGGATTTAGGGACTTGGAAGCCTTCTTGGGTTCAACAGCATTATATGACACTCTGAGATGAAAACATTTCAAAATGTTGCCTATGAACTACTCTTGTCTGAGAGTTTGTCACTTTTTAAGTATGTTTTCTCTTATTTTGTTCAGGAAAGAGTGCCTCCTAAAAATTACAAGGCTGGCTTCATGAAAGGACACTTCAAAGTTCCCCCTCCTCTATGAGCATCCCCCATGCCCACAAGTTTTTTTTTGCTTTGGGTACCTTTCCTCATTACTGCTGATGTTGTAAATCTTTGGTGCCGAGCTCTTATTTGAGGCGTAGTCCCACTCCACCTCCTCCGCGGCGATGTAGTAGAGCCTCATGGCTCCAAGCTGCTGCTGGGCTCGGGTGGTATTACGGCAGCTGCTCACCTCGTAGAGATGTTTCATCCCACCCACAAAGTGATCAAAAGTCCTGCAAACCACTTTGAATGTGCCTGGAAAGGAAAGCACATGAGATTTAGGCAATTAAAAAAAAAAAAAAAAACCAAACAAAAACCCCCCAACTTAAAAAGCAGCTTGGCAAATTAGTGGATGAGAAGCTCAACATGACCCAGCAGTGCGCGCTGGCAGCCCAGAAAGCCAACCGCGTCCTGGGTCGCATCAAGAGAAGAATTGTGGCCAGCAGGTCACGGAAGGTGATTCTGCCCCTCTACTCTGCGCTCGTGAGACCCCACCTGGAGTACTGTGTCCAGTTTTGGAGTCCTCAACATAGAAAGGACATGGACCTGTTGGTACAGGTCCAGCGGAGGGCCACGAGGATGATCAAAGGGATGGAGCACCTCCCCTATGAGGACAGGCTGAGAGAACTGGGGTTGTTCAGCCTGGAGAAGAAAAGGCTTCAGGGAGACCTCATAGCAGCCTTCCAATATCTGAAAGGAACCTACAAGAGAACTGGCAAGGGACTCTTTGTCAGGAAGTGTAGTGACAAGACAAGGAGTAATGGTTTTAAGTTGAAAGAGGGGAGATTTAGATTAGATACCAGAAAGAAATTCTCTCCTGTGAGGGTGGTGAAGCACTGGAACAGGTTCCTCAGGGAAGCTATGGATGCCCCATCCCTGGAGGTGTTTAAGGCTGGGCTGGATGGGGCTTTGAGCAACCTGGTCTGGTGGGAGGTGTCCCTGCCCATGGCAGGGCGGTTGGAACTCGATGATCTTTAAGGTCCCTTCCAGTCCAAACCATTCTATGATTCTATGAAATTAGGTCCCGTGCCTTGTACATCTCTGATCTGTCCTGAAACAAACCGAACCTGTGATGCTCTATGGAAAACCAAGTGAGGGGATGAAGGGATGTTTACATCACTCAGAGACCACCGGCTTTGAAAAATTAGGGGACTGCAGGAGAAAATAGATGATAAAATGAACATGCACCGATCATCTCCTTCAGTCAACACGTGCTCTGTGGTCCTGAGACGTAAGAGGATGGGGTTTCAGGCTGACATTCACACACAAGAGTAAACATGCACATAAGACACTGCAGAATTATGGCCTCTAACTCCGATATTACAACAGGTTCTTCAACTAAAAGCCGAATGTGAATGCAGACACAAATGGAGATCCATAAATCAGCAAGTAACTTTTTGCTCCAGCAGAAAGATTAGCCTGCTCCATCCTGCTTCACTCAAAAACCTCCATAAATTACTTCTAACTATTTGAGTTAGATTAGCTTAGCCAAGGGAGCTTGGCAAAGCAATAGATTAGATGTCTGGCAGCAGGAACAAGCTTCACCAGTGCTGCCCGTGCTGCCCATCCTGCACGAGAAGATGCAGGAGGGGTGTGCATTGCAAACACCAATAAAGGTGTAGAGAGACAGGGTGTGTGTTTCAGAGACCCTGTTTCCTTGTCCTTGAGCATGGAGCTGCTGTGCCAGACTTGGGTGCATGAGACTCTCCACTGAGCCCCTGCAGTCACCTGGTGTAATCAGAATAATGGAGGCCTCTTAGAGACTTTGCAGTGCAGACACAGACCCCATTATGCAAGAATGGGGAAAGGGAAGATGATGCTTATAACCATTTGTTTATATGCACCTCTATATTGTAAAAAAGACTGACTTAAACCTGCAACTCTCTGACCCTTTGCTCTTCCTCCATGAAAGGCCAAACCACCATGGACCAGCTTTTCTGTAGCTCCAATGGTCAAAGTGGCAGTGGGAGCATCTTTTTACTTGTCAGTGACCAGATTTCAACATTTGTGCTCTCCTTCCTGTTTTCACAAGCAGAAGCTGACCACAATGATGTCAGTCCTGTGTAGCTCCACCAGCTAGGACATCTCTGGAGGAGGAAAGCACTTTCATAGCCACTTGAATGTGAGCCAGTGATGGAGCCAAAATTGGAAACATAGCTCCCTCCAGACTCCTTGTGTTTTTAGGGCAAAAGTGTTTAAAAAGGTACAATAAAATGCAGCTAAGGAAAATCACAGGCTTTGGTGATTGTAGAGATCTGATAATTCATTCCATTTCCCTTATTGCCAGTAGAAGGTTGGCTGGCATAAAATAATCTCCTACAACACATTATTTAGTGTGAGTCCTGCAGTGCAGTTTCATGACAAACGGTGGAAATGTATGGGATATACATAAGAAAAGAATCTGCTGTTTTATAGACACCAGCACCATAGGTCTAATACAAGGCCAACAGGTATTTCTATCAGGTGCCTCCAGCCAAGGATGGTCCTTGGCATAACCTTGCACAACTCTGATGACTCCGTTGATTTAAACAGGGGTACAGTAAAAAAAGTAACTTTGCATTCTTTGTCGTGAAGCTCATCTGCTATCTTCAACAAACAATTCATCCCCTCTAAGTTTGAAGAATGTATCACTGCATTACACATAAGAATTAAAAGTATCTTTTATGTACATGCTTCTGACGAAAGTCTTAAAGACTAAATATTACTGAAGTTCTAAAATACCTTAAATGATGCTGACTATCTGCATAGCAGTGAATGTTATCTTTGCTTAGAAAAAAACCTGTTTTGAGAGTTATGGAAACTCTACAAGCATCCTGTTAGCATCCCTGCTGCTTTGCCTGTCCCATGTCATCAAAGCCTCAGCTATTTGGTGCGCACACATATTTGATCTACAGCACCTTACCCGGAAAGTAACCCAGCCCGAATAACCAGCTACACAAGGTCCCGGTGGTCCCCACATTTTCAGGCTCCCTCATGCAGAAAAGAGCATCTCACCAACCATTATTTTGGCTGCTTGATTTCTGCACGTGCCACACCACCAAGCTAAGCTCAGGAACATACCCACACGGTCTGGCTGCATCAGCGCTGTCCCCGACAAATGAGGAAACAAGGCCAGCCCGTCCCTCGTCGTCCCTCGCAGGTCGATGGTGTTTCCTTGAAAATGAACCCCGTGCATGTCGTAGTGACTGCCCATCCCAATGAGATGCCAGGAGACCTTGTCGTCCTTGCACATGGCCAGGCCCGGCAGGTTACCAAACAAGTAGCCGTTGACAGCTGGAGGAGAAGGAAAGAGCCCGGTTGGCAGCAGGTTGATGGAAACTCATCACAGAGCCTCCCACCACCTTCCCAGCAAGAGACTTGCCACTCAGCAAGTCACAGCGTTAGTCAAAGGGGCAATTTGTGAAGCAAAGGTAGCAGTGGATGACACCAAGTTAATGCCTAAATGCTTTTCCTATACACTCTGAGCTTCTACCTTTTTTTTTTCAGCCTGTAAAATCTTGCAATAGCCCTTTGCAGTGATGTAGCACTTCTCCTCTGAGCTTTTCAGGGTGCCTCTCAGACACCAGTTAAGTGTATAAATTCAGTACCTCCTTTCAGCCTGGAGAATGAATAACCAGCTCATCAAGGCCATGGAGTGGACCATAAAGATTCTGAGTTGTAAGTTGAGTTCTGATGGAGGCTTTTTATGGGATTTTATGATGATGATTCTATGATTCTATGATTTTGACATTTGGTTTCCACCTTTACTTCCAAAGTGTTTCTCGTTCTTTCACAAGGGCTAAACTCCACAATCCTCAAATGTTCTCTGTGATCACTGAGTGAAAGGTACTATGGCAGAATAAAACTTTAGTATGAGATACTGCCTCATAAAGGAAGAATGAAAGAGATGGGTCCAGAAGGCCCTGAGGTTCTCTAACAATACATATTCTCAAAAATATTCTATATTCAAACAATATATATTCTCAAAAAAACTTAAGCAAAGAGAGGTTATGTGCTTTGCTCAAGTCTGCCATGTCAGGAATAACTTGGAGGAGGTCTATGCTAAATTGAGACACCTCTGGATACGTCCAGAAATGATGTTTCAAAATATTATTGGCCGTTCACGTAGTCTTTACCTCTCCTCTTCCAGAGGTGGTCATTGCCCAAGTGGGAACTGGCAAAGCAGAGCAGGTGGACTCTGTCTGAGTCGGTGCCAAAGCCAGCAGTGAAATTTAAACCAACAGTGATTTAAATCAGCCTTTTCTGCATCTGGTGCCTGACTGGCACTATGGCTTTTTATAGACCCAAGTGTTGTATTTAAAAGCTACACTCTTCCTTTTCTCCAGGTGTAGTGGGCAGGTGGATGCATTCATTGCTAACATAGCTGGGGTTTCAATGTGCACTCCAAGGGCATCTGGAGCTGGCCAGAAGCTGACTGACAGCCTTCCACCCCACCCTCCAGTGCACTGCGGTCAGCTATGAATGATGATAAAATCTGCCAACTCATCTTCCTAATATGACTGAAGGTATCATTAATAGATATTAAATGTTTCATACCATGCATTTTGTTGGATTCCTTGAAATCTGGATTGTTTTCATCTACTTTTGAAGGGTCTCCAGTAAATGCTTCAATATTTTTGTGCAGATACCAGCTGTCATTCTCATCGAAGATTGAAAAGAGGAGGTAAAATTCTCTGTCTATTCCTTTCTGTAGCCAAGAAGGAAGACAAGACATTAAAAAAAAGTCTGTGCAGAATTACCCACGTGAAAAAAAAAAATTTTTGTTTTTTAACAAAGCTTTCTTTCCCTCAAAAATTGCAGCCACCTTCTTACTATGTCCTTGTAGAGACAGGGATTGGCACTCTTCCATCAGACAGAAGGATAAATAAAGTGTCCGTTAATTACTTAGGGTGGAAAGAAGCATTCATTGATTAATGAATACTTGGAAAAAATGAAAAACCTAGGGACAAGCCAGAATACTGGGGAATGACAGTTCATCTTCCTAACCATCCCTTTAGGTCAGCTTTTAACCTGAGGGATGACATTTGTTTAATCTCTTAAAACTGAGCTGAGAACTGGGTGAACAGGCCCACATAGGACCCCCTCCTCACCCCACCCCACCCTTCTATTAGGGTCAGGCAGATGTCCACATTGAGCACCTGTGTCCCATCATGATTCAGGGCGTTCTTCCGACAGACCAGCAAAGGCCCCACAAGGCCGGAGTTGGTGTCCTTGACGGCATCGGTGGCTGAGTAGTACAGATAGGTCAGGCACGGGGCGTCACTCTCTGTTGGACCTCCATTTGCAGGCACCCTCCATTTGTACGTGAAGGTTTCACCTGGCTTAACATGGGCTCCTGGCTTCAGATAGCCTGCAGAGAGGAAATAGAGAAGCATCAAGCTTATGGGAAGGTTTTGTTTTCCTTAAGACATTAGCTGGGAGTCCGACACAGCTGCTGGTTTCTGTGGACAAGCCCCACCACTTGCAGCCACAGCTCAAGCGCCATCCCATAGCCTGGGCACTTATGCTGTGGGGACAACTCACCAGAGTCCTGTGCCATGGGGACAACCCGTTCCCTGCAGAACAAGTTTAGCTGCTTCACCCAGACACCTTCCAACACTATCTGGATTATCTGGATTTAGTCAGACAAGACACGCAGAGCTCATCCATGTGCTGAAATGGCTTCTTCTAATGTTCCTGTCTTACCTGCCCTATCGTGACATTCATCTTCAGCATGAACACAGACTCTGGCTTTTCATTAAACACCGACAAAGCAATTACATCAGCGAGCCGAGCTGCAGCTGTGGTTGCTTGGAAATTCAAAACAAATCTGATCCTGGTAATTGTTTCTTTTTGATTTTGTAGCAATGGATGGGAACCTCTGCCAGAGTCTCCAGAGGGCGGTTGCTATTACTGTTTTTAGAAGGTACTTTTAAAGGATTTGGGCCATTGTCTGTGGCAGTGCACAGGGTGGATGTAATACCACTTGTGTAATTTGGCCACTGCAAAGTGTAGATATGTGCTCAGAGAGGACTTACAGAAGGGACTTGAAAGGAAAGGTGGGAAAATGGATCATGCCTGCACCCTTTTTAGGAAAAAAAAAAAGTGTTAAGTAACCTGTTTGGTCTTTGCTATGAGGAAGATCAAACCAGAAATTTTCTTTAATGCTTAGGCACCCACTGACAGATTTTCCCAGCACAGTCAGATGTGTCTGGCAGCAGCAGACTGCACTGATCTAACGCTCCTCTCTAATTCTCCAAGAGAATCCTTTTGGAAACTTAGACACCAGTGAAAATATCAGTATTCCATTTAAAGACATGCTGTTTGACACAAACTGCAATATGAAGTAGAGTACTCCTGCAACAGGATCTGACGCTACTGGATTCATCCTGCAACAGTGTTCAGCAAGGAGAACAACACTGATTTGGGGGTAGAAACACCCTGAGAACAGACAACTACCAACATAGAAGAGTATTTCCTAAGCACACAATTGAAAAAAAGATGGCTGTAGACATCTGTAGATGTCTATAGGTACGTTTATGTACAGTATTTCCTCATGAATAAGCTGCACCCAGACAATACACAGCCTTTGAAAAATCATTTACCTTCACTGTAAACCCATAGCCCTGCAGGGGCTGTAGATAGAGATGATGGAAACCCAAAACCCAAGGGCTACAAGGGAGAGAAGAAGGGGCAGAAAGACTGTTAGGAAGAGGTGAATCTGGACCAAAGACCCAGAGGGGTGCAGCACACGCTCTGCTGCTGAATTGTAGGATTTGGTTTGGTTTTGCTCCCCACCGAAGGGTGCAATGTGTTAAATGACAGCAGGACAGGACTGCCAGCAGAGGGAAGCTGCACTTCCATCAGCAGACTGTGTCTGATACGGGTGGCATTAGGATGTGTGCAGGTGGCTTCAAAGCTGAGCTCAAGCCAGTTGTTTCAGGCGACAGTGGGGCCTGCTGGCAAATGTGTTGTGTTGCAAGGTCAGCAATTAGAGACAACAGAATTTAATGAAGCCTCTAGATGATTCTATGATTCTGTGTTGACCTAATTCTCTTAGTACAGTTCTCAAAAGAGGGATTATGTCCTGTGAGTTTCCTTCTGATGTGTTGCAGTGGAAACAAAGCAATTTAGATGACAAGGAACCTACCTTTCTTTTCAATGCTTCTAATGCAGCAAAAACTTTTCCAGAGACCACAATATTATCTCTAGTGTCTATCTCCATAGACGCTACAGATGGGATTCAGCTCACCTTTCTTGAGCCCTCTAAAGCTTAGACCCTAACCCAAACTCTAGGCTTCCTCTGTAGTCGATGGAGACAGAAAGGTGTTTCCAGAGGGTGACTTCTGTCTCTTAAAATAATTGTTCAAAGTAAATGGGGCTTCTCACCCTCTGAAGGGGTTGTTTCTTGTCTCTGACTGAAAAAGGTGCCTATCAATTAAACATGACATTTAACATTTAATGGTTAAACTTAGGTGATGAAGATCCTGTCCTTGCACAAAATGAGAGGAAGCCTTTGGTAAACGTTCCTTTTCAGTGTTGACATATGTGTGAGGATTAATAAGGATTATCACTGCTTCACGTTCCAGGTCAATCAGATAAAAGATGCCACCTACACAGACTATCTTGACGGTGAAGCCCGACCTGGATTAGAGAATTGGGAGTGAAGCAACCCAGACCATGTGGAAAGCTATGTCCAAAGACTCAGCTGGGGCATCATGCCAGATCCTAAGCTTCATCATTCTGGAACATGTCCAGAGGAGATCCACTGACTGCAGCTGAAAGAAATTAGATTACAGCTAATATAAATTGTGACTTTTGCTCAGCATGGACCTCAGCTACTTTTAGAAGCCTTGTCTGGCACATGTCCCGGGGGAAGAACAAGTACACTGGGGAGACCCACAGACTGTGACATGTATGGTAAGCAAATCATCCCTTCTGTGCCTTAACATCCACAAAAAGGGCAAACCTTCAGAAGATCTTTAGACTCGGGTATTCTGGATGTGATGATACAGCAGTCAAAACTTACCATCTACATAGGGAGCACCTTCCGACATCTTGCTGAAGCTTACACCATGGGCCATAATGCTATAGCTCCTTTTGGCTTTGTTGGAAAAAGTAACTAGCACTGTGTCTCCCACTTCAGCTTTTATAACAGGGCCTTAAAAAAGAAAATGAGCAAAGGTATTAGAAGAACTGCCCTCTAACACATTTCCATCTAAAAAAGAGAGGGATGACTGGCAGCTGTATGCACAAAATTCCCCTCTGGATCTGAGTGGATCTGCATTCAAACCCCATGTAATGACAGAAGGGGAAAATATTCACTCTACCAAGCAATCCCAGGTGCTTCATATCCTCCGACCGAATCTTCTTCTTACTGAACGTTGCGTCAGTATATTCCACATAGAGAACTTTCCAGTATTGCCCTCCTATTCTGTCAGTCCCTTGTGTGAAATATATTGCAGATTCACTGTGGAATTAACAAATTGCTCAGGTTAAATAACTGGAGGTCCAAGCACAACCCTTCTTTTTGGCTAGTTATTACTCCAAATATGGAAGAAATGACCTCCCAAGTTACTAGTTTGCATACACTTTTCTAGGAGACAAAGGGTGATATTACCGGTCTGAACTACAGTTATAAATTAGTTAACAAATGACCATTCATTGTGCATTAGACTTTCATGTGTTTAACCCCAATTTACTTAGGGAGACATCTATGTCAACTTACCTCTAACTACCTTAGGCAAGACCTGTGCTGTTACCTGTGCACAATGTGTCTCTAATCCTCCTTAGCTTTCCTGGGAGATTCTGTCATACAATTCATCTTCATCAGTAATAACAAGGGGAAAAAATCTACCATTATGGCACCTCCGAGATACAAGGATTGTAAGTGTGAAAGCTGCCTGAGGAACCTCGATGTAGGGTCATTAACTCTGTTGAACTTTGTATACCTCACCAGGGCTCACTTTCTCCATGGACTTAATGGAGCAAGATAAGTGCTTCCAGTCAGCAGCTCCGAGCATTGCAGTTATGAGTCTAACTTCCCAACAAGGCTGTTGAAATCCATTCCTCCCTGCCTCTTTCAATTAAAATTAATTACAGTGCAAGACCTAGCCCTGGTGAATCACTGGGGAAGTCTCACCCAGACTCCTGAAATTGAAACACAACAGGAGAGGACAGGAAAGCTTACCTGCCAGTGGCATTTAAACCCTGCCCAGTGAATTTATCATAACCGTCAGGTCCATAATTCCACAGCACTTCTTCAGCAGCGATATAATATCTTCTCGTGTGACTGAGTGGTGAAGGCCGAGACAGGTTTTTTTGGCAGATCTGAACATCATACAGTGCCTCCATGCCACCTGGGAGGAGAAAGAGTCTGGAGACAGTCCTTGGCCAGCTGCGGCATCAGCAATCTCATGGATACAAATGCACATTTAAAATTTTCTAGGAGCTACACGGATTGGAGCCAATCCCTAAAGCAAATTTCTATTTTTAAATCTGGCTGCCATTGGGCCAGATGCTAGCACCCTTCTCTTGAAGGTGGTACTATATGCCACAGGTGAAACCCACTGAGATCAATGACACTCTATAGTGAGCTTATCTACTCAATTCCTTAATCTGTGTAAGGATGGTAGAATGATTTTGGGGGTCAGAGTGGCTTCTGAAGTGTGCAAAATGGCATCATCTCCCCGTGATTTACATTGAAATATAGGCTGGTTCTTACCACACTGAGATTTGTTGCTTGCCAGAATTAAGTATAGCAAATGCATGTGCAAGTTCTTAAAAGTAAAAATTTTCCCAACTCATCTTTGATATGACAATTATACAATGTCTGCTGTCGTGACATCTAGTTATGATACATGCTTTTGGGTTTTGCACCACACAAATGTAACAACACCACCATCAAATTCCCTCACATAAAGGTTTCTGAAAACATTGCCGAGTTTTGTCTGATTAATGTGATGGAAAAAGCTATGAAGTGTTCAGCTGGCAAGATTTTTCTTTATGTGTAAGTACTTATCTACAACAAAAAGTGATGATGAAGGCTCTTCTCGTTGTTCATCAAAATCACCAGTTTACACAGAAAGTGTGATGTCAGCACTGGGTTTAGCAAGCCTTGCTCATATGAATTACGCAGCTAAGTCATTTGTACTAGTTGAAGATTTGGCCCAACATTTATAAGTCAACTGGTGACTAAACTCATATTCATGATGTATATCTGGTGAAATAGTTCCAAAGTGTTCAATTAGTCACAGAGCAAAGGTGTCAAACCCTACTTCCCCTGGAAACATCTCTCAGTTTTCTTTTCCAAGCATAACAGAGGCTGCAACTTCGGAATGGATGGGGGAGATCTACAGCAGCGTACCTCGTAAGTGCTCATTAACCTGGCAGGTTATCAGCCACCTCCCGGGGCTCCCAGGAGTCATCTCTGCTGTGATGAATGTTGCTGGGAACAGACCGACGACATCTGCCCGCTGGTCTCTGTTAGTGAACGTGTGGCCATAGAAATACGCGGCGTGGATGTCTATCTCGCTTCCCATGCCAAACAAGTGCCAGGACATGGAAGTGTCAGCACACATCTCCAAGCCGGGGAGATTGCCATAAATATAACCGTTAATAGCTAAAAACAAAAGTATGAGACTTTATGAGAGGTGAAAGAGAAGTGCCAAGTGCCTCTGACCCCATTTCTAAGGAAGATCCTTTCCTGGCCCAGAAAGGAAACTGTCTGAATGTCCACAGCAAAGAAATCACCAAGGAGCTTGTGGGGGCTAAGTAACATTTCAAACACACAGTTTACAGTTCTGGATGAACAAATGGCCCAAATTCTCTGGTTGGGTCTGCGAAAAACTTCCTGGGTGATATCAAGATGTTGCAAAGGCCAAGTCATCACCCAAAAGGCCTAATAATGAAGTTAATTTGTTCTGCAGCTATTTAGCATGTCTGAATTCTATTTCCTCTTATTCTGAGTCATAAATATACCACTATATGCCAGGCTTAGGCAATTTAGATTTGAAAATTATGATATCAGTCAAATCAGTCTAGTCAGCTCTCTCTTCCTCAGTTTCCACACCCGGCAACGTATCCGGACACTAGGAGACAGAAACTCATATTTTGCAAAATATTTTATCTCCTGGGCTCCACAGAACAATCAAAAGACAGATAAATAGCTGGAGTTAACTTCTTACACCAGATCTCCAAATGTCACAAAGCACTATGGGCCAAAGGATCTCTGAAGGGCAGGAGTGGTTGTACCAGCCAGCCCACCATCCACAAGGGCCTTAGAGAAATGCTGGAGTGTTCCAATACACACATCTCAAAGTGCTCTCTGCCTCCTTTTCTCTTTTCACAGATGGTCAAACAGTCACCAGATGGCTTAAATCTGTTGCCTGAGATAAAATGCTAACCAGGTGGCAGAACTAGGCACAAAATCCAAATCTCCTTTCAGCAAACCAGTGTGTTGTGCTGTATCGAGGGTGAGGCTTTTTTATCAATATGGTACTTCAACATCCTGACCCATTCCTTGCTGACACAGATAAAGGAGAGACATCACAAGGGACAGAGAGTCCTATTGAAATGAAAGAGCCTGGTCACTGCTTCAGGTCACCATTTGCTCAAGAGTCCTGCTCACCATGCATTCGGTTGCTGGTCTGGAAACCTTCATCCTCTTTGTCAACTGTATCTGGTTCTAAGCAGAAGGTGTTTATATTCTCATCGAGGTACCAGCTGAAGTTTTCATCTACAATGCTAAACATCAGGGCAAAAGCGTTAGCAGCACCAGTCCCTTCTATTGAGGTCTCATCTGCAGTTCCTAAATTGCAAACGAAAAGGAAAGTGATAAAAAAAGCCTTGGAGGGGATTGAATTTAAAAGTGACAATAACTTTGGAGCACTTGATGAAATACAGTGCTCTGCTTGTGATCTATAGGACAGAATGAATCTTAACTAATTTTGCTCTTCTAAGACATCTTGACCCCCCCTCCAACAGTCTTTGGGCAGACGAGTGTCTCCAGAAGGCAGTCCATCTCATCTAAGTCAAGCTGATATTTCAGGACCTGTTTGATTTGACATAGGCACAAGTATCTGCCAATATCTGTGCTTTTCCCCATCTTTGGCTCACTGCACCCAACCCTGCCCTTTAGTCAGTGTGAGCGTCCATGTGCCTACACAGTGAGCAGGTCATGGGCCAGATCCAGCCAGAAACCAGTGACATTTTTTTGGACTAGGAAAAAGGAGAGGCAAGTGGTAGCCTGCATTTCTGTTGCATTGAAGCAACTAGTGAACCATACCCTCAGAATGGCCATTCTAAATGTGGCTCGCTCTTTATGAACTGACAAGGAAGCCTTGAGAATTATCTAAAACTAGATATTTAAATTTAAAAAAGCTGAAGGCAGGGTAAATATAAGCTCTTCAAGCTAAGTTCAGTCTCACTATCTGAGTGATCACTTGGGGAACAACCTGAGACTATAGGAGTGGCAATATTGAGTAGTCAATTATCAATTATTAACCAGTTTAGACTTCATCTAGCCATCCAGTCTGCATCTGAACCCATTAAAACCTTTGTTTCCCCTGTTTCTTATGGGAAGGAGCCCCAGAGCCTTGCTGTCAGTCCTGTAAGGAGCCACCCACCACCATTGGATGGGGAACTACAGCAGTAGCATTGTACGGATATCCACCTTGATGAATTCAAGACTGAACATGCAGATAACTTGGCCTTTCAGGCTAGGATTGTTTCAAATGTGCTATCTCCAAGCTTCATGTATTATTGCATAGCTATCAGCTCAGTTTCACGTATTCAGGCAGTTCTGCAGATTTCAAAGGCTCTCCAGGAGAATAAAAGTCTAAAACATTTTTATTGTGCTAGTTAAGCTGGAGGCTAGGCCTATCCTTTCCCCAATGAAGTGTTTATCTTCTTCATAGATAAAACCTGCTTCACTAGTATGTTCTGTATATAAAATCAGGGCTGGTTTTGTCCTGTGGGAGGTACTGGGAAGAGGTGGCAGAGTTACACGTGCCCAGGGGGAGAGAGGGTGACAAATCAGCTGATAGAGGGGAGAAGGCTGGTACATGGTCCCTGATGGCCCCAGCATAAAATTAGCGGGCTATGAAGTATATGGGACAGGCTGTCACCTCAGCTGTTCAGCGTACATCCCCCTATAGTTGTGATATGCAACTTGTGAGGAAAAATAAATGTATTACCACAGGGGGGGGAAAATAGAGTATTGGGGTTTCAAATATGTAAATGCCAATGCTGAAGTCACCTGCTCAGCCTTAATTTCATTTCCTGGGAAACGAGTCTTTTGCTTGTGCTGAAACGATCCCAGTTTGGGAACATTTACTTTTGGTCTTGGCCACAGAGCATGCTGCAGTCCCTCCACCAGCCGAGGCAAGTCTCTCGTGAAGCCAAAGGGGAGCAGGAATAGGGTTGTCCCAGAGCTACAATACCTACCCTGGGATGCTCCTGGAATGGCCCAGCTATTCCTTGACCCTTTTTATGGGCTATGTAGGGATAGACTCTAGACCATCATGTTTATACCTGTAAGCAAAAATGACTGTTAAGATGCCAAGCTTGGCAGAGGGGCTTGCTTTATCAGTGCTTCTAGCTCAGTACCTTTTTTACAAACCAGCAGTGGCCCAATTAAACCAGATGCAATATCTCTTGGTGTGTCAATGTGAGAATGGTAAATCCAAGTCAAGCAGTTTGAGTCTGCCAAAGTTGGGGAATAATCTTTCCTTACTGGCCATGTGTACGTGTAATTTCCACCGGGAACAACAAAGTCGTCCTCTTTGCTTTTACCACCAGTTCCATCAGGGTAAAGTGCTCCTAAACAGTAAAAAGAAAAAGGAAGCTTTTAGCCCCTCCTTAACACTTTTCCTTAAGTAAATGTGTAATTTCTTCTATTTCATCAGAGATTTAAAAACTAGTAACAACACTCACAAACATAGAATCACTGAGAAATTGTGAAAAAAATTCAGAAGTTATGGCAAAACACTGAAAAAATGTTGGGAGTTAAAATCCACCATTTTTCAGTAGAGGAGGCCTTAAAGGCGCATTAACAGGCTCTAGTTTTTCCTCGCCTCTTTGCTCTCATCTATACATTTTGTCAGCTAACACTGGATATCTTCACACAGAAAACTAATGAGAGTAGTGAACATAGGCAAATCCATACAGTCCTCTAAACAAAATAGGCTTTGGATTCTGACAATTAAGTCATGCCTGTTATAGCCCTGTAGAGAGGAAAACATTTACTTACAAGAACTCTGGCAATTCAAAGAGGCTAGAAGCAGAAGGAAGGAGGGAATATGCTTCCGTGACTTACAGTTCAGGAAAAGAGACCCACCTAACCTGTTTCAGTGCTGGATTTATCCCAGGCGTCAAAGGTTTGTGGCAAAAAGTTTTAAGAGACGAGGCTGTTCTTGTTTTTAGTCATCAGCTGCAATTACTGATGATTTTATGAGAGAGCGTTCTAAAGTCTTCTGATGTCAATGGTCAGAACAGTAAATACTTGGACAAACTTTTAGCCATGATATTATCCACTCTAGGGGAAAAGGAGAGGAATAGAGAAAAGAAAGGCAAACCAGCTTTTACCTTCAGAGTCCTTGTCATAGAAGACCCCGTGTGGATGCACAGAGTATGGACGGGAAGCAAAGTTCTTAAGATGGATGATAAAGACATCCTCTTCTTCTGCCTTCAGGACTGGCCCAAGGAACCCCAACCAGGCTGCTTTGGGGATCTCCTGGGAGTAAGTGTCATCTGTGAATTGCCTAAAAATAGCCTTTTTGTACACACGCCCTATCCGGTTGGCTCCTCTGGTCGCATACACGCTTGCAAACCTAATGTTGGGAAGAGAAAAGAATTTAGAGACAAAAAAGCTCTTTTAAGAGTTGATAAATAACTGGTGTTTGCAGTGCAGATACGCAGTTCCCTGAGACATATCTCATAGCTAGTGGACTAAAGGCTGAGGAGTGAACCTGGACAGTGTTAGCAGGGTCCAAGCCCCTTTCTGTGTGGTAGCAGTCATCTTACTTGCAATACTGGTCTTTAGAATGGTTGCTACAGTCTTCACTTGAGGACCAACCACTTAGGCCTTTCTGAACATTTTTAGCACTTTGTCCTTCTTTTGAAAGTTTGAAACCTCACATTTGAAAGCACAACTGTTCAGAAGGAATAGAAAACCAATTTTTTTTCTAAATCCAAGAAGAGAAATTGTAATCAACTAGTTTAACACCCCAGAAGAGTAGCATGAAATATTTTTGCTTGAAATGCATAGTTTCTACATTCCAGAGCCAATGTTTATAGCAACTTCAAGTGATGGAGAATCCACCATATGGTCAGTGGTTGACATACTATAACTATTAAATACCTGCTCCTTGAATTGCATTTGTAGTCTAATACCATCTAGCTCCACACTCCAACCACTGGTTCCCATCAAGCTTGCTCTCAGATCAAAGAGGCCACATACCATCAAGAGCTTCTCTTCTATGCAGACACTTGCATAAGTTTTAATTAATTGACTAAATGGCCTCCTACACTTCTTCTGGACAAAACAAACACACCGAGATGCCTTATGCCACAAATCTTTCCTGAAGCTCTTTGCTGAAAGCCTTCCAATATTTCTCTATCTCTTTTGAAGTCTGAACACAAGAACTTCACACAATATGCAAGTAATATTCCAGTTAAAGCCAGAGGTGCTCCCAGTCAATATTTCTTACACAACTAGGAATTAGTTTTGCCCTATTAACTATAAAATCATACTGGAATGCCATGTTCAGCACGTTTTGTTATGATACTACTTTTTTTTACTTCTCTCCGGGTTACAGCTGACAGGTATGATACACATTCTGCATCCCTAAATATCCCCTATGGTGTAGGAATTACCCCCCTTTCCCACATAACCAGCAGCTGACTGTATGACCAATTTCACCACAGCGGCCTGCTCCATGAGTTTTAGCATCTCCTGAAGATTGTTTAAACTTCCATGGTTCCTAACAAACTCATAAAAAAGCTGAGCTAAGTTTTCCGGAAATATCACTGGCAGAAATACACAACTCCATATTTATAATGAGGTTTTGTGACTGGCCAGTTTACCTGCAAACCCATTTTGTTTCAGTGCTGCTGTGCAGTGCCAGCAACCTACGTGTTGGATGTCACATGAGTTGAAAGGTATGATTTGCTATAATTTCTTCACTATAAGATCCACTGCTCCTCCTTTTCAAGCCATCTCTGCTTGACACCACAATTCACAACGTCTCCCATCTGTGGCCAATACACCTCCTCAGCCACCACCTAAACCAGATCCCTGAAGAAAATCTCACAAAAGAATGCTTTTTCATTTGAAAAATGTGCTTTATAGCAAGCTAAGAGCTAGTTTGGCACAAATGGAAATATACCCAATGATACTGCTGTGGCAGAAAGTGCTGGCTAGGATGGAGGGGAAGGAACAGAAGCTTCTCCGTCTGCTTCCTCACAGATTAATGTATAAATACACCCCAAAAGTGTGGCTAACAAACAAGTTGCCAAGAAGTCTGGATTTTCAGTGAATTAGCAGGTCTGTGATAACTGTCTGTGCGTGCACAGCAAGACCTGGCAAGGCATGCCACACTCACCAAGGAAAAGATACCTTCCACTGCCTGGGGGGAAGATCTGCTACAGGAGACCTCACCACAGAGTAGCAGGTGGTGTCAGTAGTAGTGCAGCATAAATGCACGTGCTTCCTTACCTCATGGCAATGTATTCATGTGGCTATGCCTTAATTTGAATTATAAATTGA